CGCCCGCGAAGCGCCCGCGGCCGCTGGCGGCAGCGGCGCGGGGAGGGGCGCCGCGGGACCCGCGGGGAGGGCTGCTTGAATTGAAAAGGCGCGGGGGGAGCGGCGGAGGGAGGCGGGCAAGGGCGAGGCAGCGGTCAGAGAAATGAGAACGCCCATGGTAATGGAACCAGCGAAGGCGGAACACCGCCGACAACAGATGGAGGCGGTGCACCGCCAGGCAAACCTTCCAATAAATACGAAGAACCGCCTGAGCAGCGCAAGGACAAGCAAGGCCCGATGAGATTACGATCCGATTTCGATCCGAGTTCCTTGTTTTCTGAACGCAGGCTGCGCGCCCCACGCGCCGCCCGCGGCAAATCCGACTGAGAGTCATGCATCGCGCCACCGAAGCAGGTCGCCTCAGAACTCGCCCTTGCGAGCCTCCAGCTCGCTCTGCACCAGCGCCTTGGCCCAGGCGATGGCGGCCTCCTGAGTGGCAGATGAAAACCGTCATAAACGCAAAGTGGCCCGCGGGGTCTCTTTGCGCATATGATTGGAGCGAGGCCACGCGCGGCCGCAACAACGCGCTCCGCCGCCGCGCATCGAGCCCCGTGGCCACGCCGATTGGAGGAGATGGGACCCAAAAGTGTCCTTCTCCTTGCCGTTCCTGTACTTCTTGCTCTTGGTGCCGCCTGGCCCGCTGCGCCCGCTCCTGAAGAGAATCTGGCTGCGAGTGGTCTCGTCGTCATACCGCGGTGCTTTCAGCTTGCATGCTGCCGCCTTCGCCTTCGCAATCTTCTTCGGTGTTGCCTCGGCTTTTGCCTTTGCCTTTGCCTTCGCCGCCGATGGCTTCGCCGTGCCATCTGAAGCCTTTGTCTTCGCCAAGGCCGCCACTGCGTCGGACTTCCTCCGCTTCTTCTCGCCCTTCTCCGCTTTCCAGCCAGAGGAAGTACGTTGCCCCGCCGCTTGGAGGAGAACCAGGGCAGCGTCGGCAGGCAGCTTCGCCAGCGGCAGTGTCGGATCCACCTTGACAGCGGCAAGTGGCAATAACCAATCGCCGCGCCTGCGACGCCCCGCAGAGGGCGCGCCGCTGCCTTGGGCAGAGGCGCGCCCCCGTGAATCGCGGAGGCCGCGGAGGCGGGCCCAGGTTACCGTCCAAAAACCTTTGCCTTCTTCTGCGGCGCCCCCTTCGCGTCCACCTCGGACTCGCTCGAGCTCAGCACCATGACGTCAACGGCCGATGCCTTGACCTTGGCGCCACCACCCAACTTTGAGGCCGCGGCCGCAGGCGCCGCTCCCGACATCGCGGCAGGCTTGCCCGCGGGAGCTGCTGGAGTGGGAGTCGTCGGCCCGCGCTGCGAGACGAGGGCGGCCGCCGCTGGGTTCGGCCACCCGCCGCGGGTGTTGTGCGTTGGGATCACCCCCAACGGCAACGCCGCTGGCGTCGCGGCTCCCAAGGGAGGCGTCGCGGCAATCGTCGCGGCTGCAACCGCAACGCTTTGCATCGGAGAAGGCGGCGGCAGAGGCGCGAAGGCGATCGGCGGCAACGCCGCCCGCTGCGGCGTTGCCTGGGCGCCGAGCGCTGCGTTCCTGTTGCCGCGCAAGCTGATGAGCTTCCCGAGGATCTGCGTCTCGAGAAGCCCAATTGTCGGCTGCACGGGCCCCTCCGAGGCGAACGCCTGCTCGTACAGCGTCGGCCTCTCCTGCTGGAACAGCGCCGCCGAGGGGGAGAGCGCGCCGACAAACTCGGTCGCCTTGCCTCGAGCAGCTGTGTAGGCAGGGGAACGCCACGTGGTCTTCACCAACTGCAAGTACACGTCCAAGAGCTGCGGAGTCGGCGAATTCTTCTCGATGCCTGATCGCTGGCACGCCAGGAACATGAACGCGGCTAGCATGCCAAACGTCGGCTCGGAAGGGTTCCGGAGCCCGAGGCGCTCCAAGTGGCGCATCAACATGACAAATTTCGAAGCGAACGACTCGGTTGGGCTCAGCAGCACGTGCCACGTGGAGGCAGTAAGCAACTCCACGAAGCACTCGTAACTTTGCCCTTTGGCCTTCGTGCGCCTCCCGCAGAGCCACTCGGTCGCGGCGCCGACCAAATCGTGACTGAACCCCGTCTGCCCGAGCTGGGTCAGCAGCTGCCCTTTCTCCGTGGCCGTCCACCTGCAAAACGACGGGGGAATGTTAGACGGCGGGGAGGAGGGGGGAGCGGGCGGCGTTCCGCCGAACGGAGGCGGGGACCTCCTCGAAGGGGGAACGGATGGCCTCTCGCCCGTACGGGATCTTTGACCCGAGCCTCACCTCTGGCCTTCGATGAGCGCGCGCACCTTCCCGAAGTGCAGCTGCTCTGCAGCGCCCCTGGAAGGCCCGCTCGCCGCTGCAAGCGCCGCGGCTGCCTCGCCCAGGGCAGCCTGGACGCGCTCCATCGCGCCGCGGCGCGTCGGGGGGCGCCCGCCCCGCGGCCCCTCCAGAAGCGCTCGGTGGGACAGGGGCAGCGTATTGTGGCGAAGGGAAATGGCATGGCCCTTCACGTCTTCCTTCTGCTATCCTCTCCTCCCCCCTCTCCCCTCCTCCCCCCTCCTGGGCGGTGCGCCGCCAATGCGACCAATCAAACGGTATATGATGAAACGTGCGCCGAAGGCGGTGCACCGCCAACGAATGCAGAAACACCTCGCGCAATCAAGGTGACGTGGGCGGTGGGCCGCCAAATGCGATGACAAACTCGGGCGAAGCATGCGCCGCGGGCGGTGCACCGCCAACGCGAAAGAAACGCATCGCGCAATCACGGGGACGTGGGCGGTGTACCGCCAAATTCGATGACGAATTCGGATGAAACGTGCTGCGTGGGCGGTGCTCCGCCGATGCGTGAAGAAACGATTCGCGCAATCAAGGGAACGTGGGCGGTGCACCGCCAACGCGACGAAACTTCAATCAACATGTGCAAAACGTACAAATTGCAATACGCGGGCAAAACATAGCGATGGGCGGTGCGCCGCCAATGCGATAAAACTGCTCAGAATTTGCAAGACGTGGGCGGTGGGCCGCCGAAACGAATCACATCAGAACGCGCCGCGATGAGAAGTGCGGGCGGTGTGCCGCCAATGCGCATGGCATCCCCTCCCGATCCCCCCCCCGCCATTCCCGCCCCCTCTCTCCTACCCCCCAGGCTGCGCGGGTTGAGCTCGGTGATGAACGGCCTTCTCGGTCGCCTGGCGCCTGGCGAAACACTGTGCTGAAGAAAACCTGCGCGTTTTTCGGTGTCCGACCCCCTTTTCAAAAAGCAGACGAAAAAGCAGACTTATCGGACTTAAACTTATCTTATTTATAAGTATAACTACAAGTAACTTATAAGTATGGCAATTGGGTGCACACAAGTAACATATGTTCTACATGTGATTTAAGTATATATGTTAATGACTTAAGTTAGATGTGGATGGTAGTTGCAGGATCTTAACATATCTCACTACAAGTGATTTCAAGTTACTTACAAATAACTTCATATATAATTGAAGTAACTTATAAGTGACTTCATCTGACATAAATCTCATATGTCAACGCCATCACCAAAGCGGAGGCGCCCATGTATCGAAGAATGTGCCCGGCAGCGGGGCCGAAACCAGCTGCGTTTAGCAGATTTCGTAACCCCCCTTTCCCAATCCCCTCCTTTCGTCCAGCCCGAAAGACGGCCCAAGAAGCCTTCGAGTCACCCAATGGAGACTCAAGAGCCTTCCCAACAAGGGCCCCGAGAGGCCAACACCAATTTTTTGGGGGTTTTCCGCTTTTCCGACGCTCCAAGACGACCCAAGGCCCCCATGTACGCCACAAGACGGCCGCAGAGGCCCCCAAGAGGGCCCCAGCCCGCCCAAGAGGGCCGCCAAAACAGCCCAAGAGGCGCCCAAGACGGTCAAAGAGGGACCCGAGACGGCCCCAAGAGGGGCCCAAGAGGGGAACACGAACCGAAAGTCCAAGCCTTCCGCCCCAAGAAGCGCCCAGGAGGCCCCAAGAGGCGCCCAAGAAGCCCCAAGAGGCCCCCAACAGGCCCCCAAGAGGCCCCAAGAGGGACCCAAAAAAGGCCCAAAGAGGCCTCAAAACATCCCAAGAGGCCTCAAAGCTGCCTCCGGGAGGCCCCCGAGAGGCCTCGACGAGATCCTAACGACCATCCAGGAGGCCTCAGACCCACAACCCAGGCACAGTTGCGGGATGGGCCGAAGGCCATTAGATGGCGTGTCGCGGCGGCGACCCCGGCGATACGCTATGCCTTGCAAGCGCATGGCGTGTCGCTCTGCTCTGCAAGGTCGGGAGGCCGGGAAAGGCTCGTGAGGTCGACGCTTGGGAACCTGGAAGTGAATATAGCGTGTCGCGCCGAAGCGAGTGGGCGCCTGCAGCTCGGCCGCTGTCGTGGCCGTCCCCTGCGAGGCCGTGGGCGCCCGCAGAGAAGCCAAAGCTACCGGAAACACGCCGAGAACCTACGACAACGCCTGAGAACCACGAGCCTCGAAAACCTGAAACCTCCCCCTATTGTCCGACCCGATCTCGGTCCACCAGCGACGACGGTACCACTGGTTGAGCAGGGACCGAGCGTCCTGGCGTTCCTATAGTTATGCGCACCACGGGATGCTGCTGGAACAAAAAGGGCGTTCGAGCACCAAAACAATGTGCTCGGAACAGAATGCCGCTTGACAAAAACAGAGCAGTCTCAGCCAGAAAAGCTCGAAGAACAGCTCGTGCAACCCACGACAGGTTCTTGGATGGCGGGCCCCATAGGCAGGTCGGGACGCGTCCCCACCGCTTGACACGGCGCCTCCCGGCTCTGCGCGCGGCTCCTCTGGGCCTGTCGGGCGGCGGGCGGCCGACGCCCGCCGCCCGCCTCCTCCCCAGCCGAAGACGGGGGGAGGGAGGAGGGAGGAGGGGAGGAGGGAGGAGGGAGGGAGGGCGGAAGGAAGGAGGGAGGGAGGTCAGGAGGGAGCAGGTCGGGAGGGTAGGAGGGAGGGAGGGCGGAGGGCGGAGGGAGGCCGACGCGCCTGCAGCTCGGCCACCGTCGTGGCCGTCCCCTGCGAGGCCGCGGATGCCCGTCGCCCCCACGCGTCGGCGGGCGCCGCCGCGGGCGCCCCCGCGCCGCCGCCTCGGCCCTCGGCGGGGAGCCCTTCGGCCTTGGGCGACGGCGGCCGACCGCCGACCACCGAGCGCCGAGCGCCGGGCGTCGTCGTCGAGCGCCGAGCGTCGGGCGTCGTCGCCGTCGAGCACCGGGCGTCGGGCATCGCCGTGGAGCGTCGTGTTCGAGCGTCGTCGTCGAGCGTCGTCGTGGTCGTGGTCGTTGACGTCGTCGTCAGCGCCGTCGTGGACGTGGAGGTGGTTGTCGTGGTCGCCTTGATCGTGGTCGCGGTCGTGGTTGTCGTGGTCGTCGTAGCGGTAGTGGTCGTCGTCATCATGGTGGTCGTGGACGTGGACGTGGTGGGAGTGGCCGTCGTCGTTGCCTGGGTAAGACCCATCGCGTCGCGGCAAGAATCTCGACATGCAGGCCACCAAACCCATGCCCTGGGAACGCCAGAATGCAACTCTGTATGAAACGCTTTCCCGAAGAACCCGGTCGAGACCTCTGGGGGTGCGCGTTGCGAAAATCCATGCTGGGGAAGACGACGATACCAGGAGGAGGAGGAGGAGGAGGAGGAGGAGGAGGAGGAGGAGCAGGAAGAGGAGAGGGAGGAGGAGGGAGGAGGAGGAGGAGGAGGAGGAGGAGGTGAAGGGGAGGAGGAGAGTGAGGAGGAGGTGGAGGAGGAGGAGGAGGAGGAGGAGGAAGGAGGAGGAGGAGGAGGCGGAGGAGGGGAGGAGGAGGAGGATAAGGAGGAGGAGGAGGAGGAGGAGGAGGAGAAGGAGGAGGAGGAGGAGGAGAAGGAGGAAGAGGAGGAGGAGGAGAGGAGGAGAGGAGGAGGAGAAGGACGAGGAGGAGAAGGGAGGGGGAGGAGGCGGGGGGAGGGAGAGAAGGAGGAGAAGGAGGAGGAAGAGGAGGAGGAGGAGGAGGAGCAGGGAGAGATGGAGGGAGGAGGAGGAGGAAGGAGAGAGAAGGAGGTCGGTCGCTCGCCACGGTGTCAGAAGGCGTCAAGCCGACGTTTGCCACAAAACGGGGCAGGCACGAGCGAACGCGTCGGCCCTCCCACCCCGCCCGCCTGATAGACACCTTCCTGGACCTCCAAGGCACCATGGCCAGGAAAGGACGAGGGAGGGACGAGGGAAGAGGAGAGAGGGACGGAGGGAGGGAGGGAGGGAGGGGAGGGAGGGAGGGAGGGAGGAGGGAGGGAGGGTAGGGAGGGAGGGAGGAGGGAGGAGGGAGAGGGGAGAGAGAGGAGGAGGAGGAGGAGGAGGAGGAGGAGGAGGAAGAGGAAGAGGGGGGAGGAGGAAGAGAGAGGGGGAGGCAGAGGAGCACGGTTCACGGGGCCGAGGAAGGGAGGAAGGAGGGAGAGGAGGAGAAGAAGGAGGAGGAGGAGGAAGGGAGGAGGAGGAGAGGGAGGAGGAGGAGGAGGAGGAGAGGAGGAGGAGAGGGGGGGAGCAGGAGGAGGAGAGGAAGAGAGACGAGGAGGAGTAGGAGGCGGAGGAGGGAGGAGGAGGAGGCGAGGAAGAGGAAGATGAAAAGGAGGACGAGGAGGAGGAGGGGGGAGGGAGGAGGGAGGGGGCGGAGGAGGAGGGAGGAGGGCGGAGGGCGGAGGGAGGAGGTGGGAGGGAGGAGGAGGGAGGATAGAGGAGGGAGGAGAGGAGGGAGGAGGGAGGAGGGAGGATAGAGGAGGGAGGATAGAGGAGAGAGGAGGGAGGAGGGTGGAGGGAGGGAGGGGGAGGAGGGAACAGCAGGAGGAGAAGGAGAGGAGAGGAGGGGCGGCAGACGGGTCCTGAGGGGACGTTTCACGGGCGGAGAGGCCCCGAGTCTCCTCCCGCGTGGCTTTCGGCCGCGCCGAAAAGGTGGGAGGGGTGAAGCAGGAGGAGAGGAGGAGAGAAGAGGAGGAGGACGAGGAGGAGGCGGAGGAGGAGGAGGAGGGGGAGGGGGAAGAGGAAGGGGAGGAGGAAAAGGAGGAGGAAGAGGAAGAGGAAGCGGAACAGAAGGAGGAAAAGGAAGAGGAAGAGAGGAGGAGAAGAGGAAGAGGAAGAGGAAGAGGAAGAGGAGGGAGAGAGGAGGAGGAGGAGGAGGAAGAGGAGGGAGGAGGAGGAAGGAGGAGGGAGGATGGCGGAGGGAAGAGGGAGGAGGGAGGAAGGAGGAGGGAGGAGGGAGGAGGGAGGTGGCAGAAGGGAGGATCGATGAGGGAGGAGGAGGGAGGAGGGAGGATCGAGGAGGGAGGTGGCAGAAGGGAGGATAGAGGAGGGAGGAGGGTGGAGGGAGGAGGGAGGAAGGAGGACTGCCAAGTACGCTATAGGCTTCAGGGCGCCTAAGCCCATCTTTAAGGATGAGGCGACCCTCAGATGTCGGTGATCCACGACCGCTCGGAAGCCTCATCCTTCAAGTCCTGAGATTGCGTGGTGCGATAGGAACTCGCATGGGAAAAGGCCGGGGTCGTATGCGAATGCGCCCCTCACAATGCGGAACGTGCGTGCTCTACGCTCTGATTGATGAGCCCTCTGGTGCGGTCAGCACGCCGAAATGTCCGGCGGACAAGTACGTGCCCGGGGGAGGAGGAGCAGGAGGAGGAGGAGAGGAGAGGAGGGGCGGCAGACTGGTCCTCAGCGGACATGCGCCCTAGGGTACAGCTTGCCGTCTCGGCGGTTCATTTCACGGGTGGGGGTAGAAAGGGCGGGGAGGCCCCGAGTCTCCTCCCGCGTGGCTTTCGGCCGCGCCGAAAAGGGGGGAGAGGGGGAGGTGACGCATCGTGGCCAGGGCCATGACATCCAGGCGGTGTCATGGCCCCAGCCAAGGTATCGCCCTGAGGGACACTCCTGGCAGCTTGAATGGTGAGAGGCCTATGGCCCCGCCACGCTCCCTGGACATAGGACAGCTGGAATGGTATCCTCTGCCAAGCTACACTTTCTGGACATAAGACGGCTGAAAACAAGCCAGAACACCTTAGTGAGTCTCATTCGGGAATCTGCGAGGGCTGACATCGAGCAGGAACATTCGGCCCTCTTGTAGAGATTCTGGTGCGACGAATCTTTCCTCACTTCAGAACAACATCGAACAAGAACACCATAATGAGTCTCATGTCTGGGTCTGCGAGTGCTGAAATCAAGCCACAACATCAGAGTGAGCGCGTCAATTTTGGACCAAATGGAGCCAGAACGCCGGAGTGAGTAACATCTCTTGACTTGCGAGAGCTGAAACCGAGCCAGAGCACTCGGCTCACTCTTTTGTATATTTTGGCGATATGAAGGTTTGAAATGAAAGCGAGACAGAACACAACAATGATCTTCATTTCTGGACCAGATCGAGCCATGACACCATAGTGACTCTCTCATGCCTGGATACGGGAGGACTGAAGTCGAACCGGAACACCATAGTGGGTCTCACTTCTGAGCCAGATTGAGAGCCAGAAAACCATACAGTCAAAAACCCTAATAAGGACGCGCGGTAAGGACGCAAGACCCTTGGAAGCCGAAGTTGGGATTTCTGGGGCGGCGGACGACGAAAACCCCAAGGACGCAAGAGCAAGGAAGAGCAAGAACGCAGGGGTACCCTGAGCAAAGTCGCGCGTCCTCATCAGGGTTTTTGATTGTAGTGAGCTTCATAGCTGCACCACAGCGAGCCACCACACCTTCGTGAGTCAACCCCAGACCGTTCCAGACCGCAGCTGGGCCTGGGCGACGCCTCCCCCTCGCCCCCCCCTCTGGAGATTCCGGGGAGAGAAACCTCTGATCTCTATTGAAGGGGCCCTGGGACACACAAATAAATAGACACAAATAAAAAGATTCCCCATATTTTCCTATATTTGTTTGATTTCTGTCTTCCCCCCACTTCCCGTATTTTCCCGTATTTTCTGGGGAATCGACGATTAATTGTGTCTGTGTGTTTTTTCCCCTCCTGATATTAGGGAACAAGGTTAGCCAACGCTGGCCCCAAACAGTAAATCTTGCACCGTGGATGAGCCAGCAGTGCTGTGCAAGCTATGCGATGTGAGCTGTGGGGTGCAGTCTGCGCGGCGCAAGCCAGAGGCGGCAACGGAACGGCGCCGGGCGGCAACGTGGCGAAGACTCGCCGGACCCACCCAGCGCACGAGGCGACAACGAAGCGGCAACGGGCGGCAACGTGGCGCAACCTCGCTGGACACAACCCCTGCGCACAGGGCGGCAACGGCCGGCCACTTAGAGGATCCTCGCTGAACACAACCAGTCGCTCAAGGAAACAAGTGGAAGACCCACAGAATGCAAGCACGGCTTGAGAAAAAACCTTGCGGGGGAATGCTCCATGGCGCCAACTTCCGCCAACGGAGCCAGCCTCGTTTTCCTTCCGCCTGCTTCCGCCCGTCTTCCGCCGAAGACAGTAAATCAACCTCTCGATCAAGAAGGCGGGGCCATTTCGAGAGCGCCCCACGTAGGCATTGGAGTTTGGGGAGTCCATACGCTTCCGACGACCTCGCCACCGCAGAGCAGCACACCGCTTCTCCCCAGATCCACGTCGTGATCATTTTCACAACATGGACCCCAGAGGTCCCGACCCCTTCCCCGGGAGCGGCTTTTCATCCCAGATCGTTTTCTGACGGCACCGAGGCCCTGTACGGACCTCCGGAAGCAGAAAGTTGCCAAACTCCTCCAGTCGTGATATTTTCACGACGCGATGGGGCCTTGGTCTGGGCGTCAGTGACGCGGCGTCAGTCGACCCGGACCCATCCCAGGGTGTGTTCTGGCCAGACTTCCGAGGCGGATCCAGCCGTCGCGACCAAAGGCTCTGGAAAGCCCAAAAAGGACAAACAACAAAGCCCAGAGGCCGTGACCTCGATCCCTCGAACCCTCGACCCCTGGTGTCCTCGACCCTTTTGGGAAGCCCCCTCTGATCTGCCACGCTGGCATCAGCCGGCCGAGGCCAGCCCGAGCCTGGAACGCACTGACCCGGGTCAGCGCTCATCCAGATCAGCCAAGGCTCGAGTAGGGGATCGACTACAGAGAATTGATTTACCCCACGCATCCGTAGATTCAACAAAAAATCAGGTTTGGGGTAAACCGATTTTGCAGTCGATCCCCGACTTGAAAAGGCCGTGTCGCGAGCCCCAGCCAGCCGCTCAGTAGATCCCAAAGCCTAGGCCAGCGAAAGGCGGAGTGGGGGGCATCGACCGCACGTGGTTCCCAAACCCAAGCCAACCAGAGGGGACTGGCGGAACCCACACCCCCTCAGCGCTGACCCCCGTCCCCAGGCCTCCCGACGCCGCGTTTTGTTTCGCAGCGCAGACCCCCAAAGGTCTCGACCCCTTCCCTGAGCAGCTGTCTGATAGCCCCCCGGTTAGAGCGAGGGCCCCAGCTCGCCACCGCTCAGACGTCCATATTTCCCGTGCATTTTTCGGTTTCGTGCGTGTTTTTGTTGCTCGATGGTCCAGGATGGTCCTGGAGGGTCCTCGCCGAGAAAAACATGCACACGTCCGAGCGATGCCAGGCCAGAGGCCGAAGATAGCAGAAAGCCGCCCGTCTTTCTTCACGACTCGAGCCGCGGCGCGCGGTCCTCTTCGCGCCATCGCGCCGCCGCCCTGGAGCTAGGCTTCTGTCGGGCGTGTCCCCCTACAGGGGGATTTTCAACGAAACATGACAAATACCCGCCAAAATACACCAAAAAGGTCAAAACATGCTAAAAAAATAGTCCCCCCACTATGTTTGGACTATGTTTTGACTATGTTTGGGGTATCTTTTATTTTTCGTCGAAAATCCCCGTGTAGGGGGACAAGGCCGACTTAGAGCAAGGCACCCCTGCGTCCCAGGCCGCGGCGCACGACGCGCCCATGTCGGGGGCGTCCGAGGGGCGGGCGCCCAAGACTGCTTTGAAGGGGCACACAGACACACAAGTAAATACACACAAATCACAAGAATATCTTTCCATCTCTTCTGGGTCTCTGTCTTCCCCCCCACGTCCCATAGGTTCCCATATTCTCCTGGGGATCGACGATGAATTGTGTCTGCGTGTGGTTTCCCTTCCAGATTCTTGGGCGACCGAAACGGGTAGGAGCAAAATGGGCACAGTGCCCAACAACACGTGCTGTCGAAAACAGGCAGCAGCCGCTGTTGGGCAGGCGGCGTCTCGCCTTCAGAGAACAACGACCGCGGCGGGCATCGTACCCATTCTTACGGTGCCCATCTCGATCGTCCCGATCCGAGCGGGGGGGCGTCCAAGAGGGGAGTTCGTCAAGCACTGCCGGAGGCATGTGCGTGGACGAGGGGGCGACCAGAGGACCGTGGAAACAAGACGAGGGGGCCATGACATCGGGGAAGAGATCACGGCCCCCGCCATGATATCCGCCCCCCATGGTGGGGGCCGCCAAGTTGGTCAGGAGCGAAAGAAGGACGTACAAGTACGTGAATCCACGTTGGTTTCGAGAGTACGCGTTGCGCGAACGTTCGTATCACGCGGCTGGTCTCGCGGACTGTGGGGGCGTGTTCATGTACGTAGTTGGGCGCGTGCGTCCTTTGTGGGCTCCCTGGAGGGGGGTGACGACTACTGAGATCACCGCTGGGGCTGTTGAGGGGGCCCGGGGGCTAGAAGCGGCCAAACATGGTCGAAGCACCTTCCCAGAATCACTTCTTGACCATGTTGGAGCATTCCTCCTGTAGGAGGGGGACAGGACAGGCCCGCCCTCAGGGCGACCCCATCGCCGCGCGCCCCGACCGACGAGCGCCGGGGCCCCGGCCGGGAAGCTCGTGGGGCCCTCGGGCGCCTCGCGCGGGGGGGAAAGCGGAGAGGGAGGGGGAGGAGGTGGAGGAGGAGGAGGAGGAGGAGGAGAAGGAGGAGGAGGAGGAGGAGGAGGAGGAGGAGGGGGAGCGGAAAGCGCACGGCGGGGCCCCGCGGGGCCGCAGTGCCGGAGGGGCGGCGGAGCAGGGCCGCAGAGGGCGGAGGTGCGCGCGGCGAAGGGCTCCGCCTCCGCGCCCTCGGGCGTGTGGCATCCCGGGGGCGCGATTCGGCCGCGAGCGAGGAGGGAACGCGAGGAGGAGAGGGCCGTCTCACCTCCTCCTCCTCCTCCTCCTCCTCCTCCCCCTCTCTCCTCTCCTCCTCCTCTTCCTCCTCCTCCTCCTCCTCCTCCTGCTCCTCCTGCTCCTCCTGCTCCTCCTGCTCCTCCTCCTCCTCCTCCTCAGAAGCCCTCGCGCCTTCTGAGCGGTGGTTTCTGTCCTCGGGGGAGGCTCAGAGAGCTTCTCAGAGGGCCGGGGGAGTTCCGAACCTCTTGAGAAGGCCTTCTCCTTCCCACTTCCCCCCCTCGTTTGTTGTTGAGTCTAGGATCCGGGGCACGATCCCGCGGACATGCGGTCGCGCGGATACATTCCACGCGGGGCATCTGTGAGATCGCGCGCCGTGCCAGCACGAGCCAGGCGCCACCCGTCGGCCTGCACCTGGGGCTGCCCCGAGTGGAGTGTCCCCAATCCGGGTAAGAGCCCTCAAAGTTGAAGTATGTGAACATTCTCCCCAAATCCCCGACGCCACGATTTTGTCAAAACGTCGACCCCCAGAGGTCTCGACCCATTCCCCGGGACCGATCGTTCATCCCGCATCGTTTCGTTCTGTCGACGGTCCCGAGGGCCGGGACGGGTCCCAAGAGAAGTCGAAGATATATGGAAAAAACTCGTTATTAGATGCCTTCTAGATGGGGTCGGAGTAGATGGGGTCGGAGGATCGCGTCGCATCGCCGATACATCGGCGTTTCAGCGGCGACGCATTGGCGATGCACTGGCGATGCATCGTCGACGTCGGCGATGCATCGGCGCCGTCGACATGAAGCAAGCTGGGCTGCACATCGAGCCGCATCGGCGATGCATCGGCGATGCGGTGCGATCCCCGGACCCCATCTACTCCGAGCACATCCCCAGAGGTCCGACGTCGTGAGTTGTTCAATACGGGGTCCCCGGAAGCCTCGACCCATTCCCAAGGACCGGTTTTTCACCTGAGTCGCTTTTTGACGGTCCCGAGGCCTGGCGAGGGCCCCTAGAGGCCGAAAACTGCGACAAAAACTCCGTCTTGTTTTTTTCAACACGCTGGATCTCCGGGCCTGGGAGGCCTAGAGTTGTTGTGCGCCCGGGGTCGCCGCCCGTGGTCTCCCCTTGGGCGCACTTCGAGCGCTGGGTCCCGCGGCCCCGAAGGCGCACGAGAGGCGTCGCCGCCAGCGGCCGCCCGTGGGCGCCGAGTGTGCACACGAGCTCGCACCACACGGCTTGCACCACTCTAGAGAGCAGAAAATCCACCCCATAAGAATCACTCCGACACGCGAAGCCGTTCAGTAAACGCACCCATGGAAGGAATCGAACAGGGCAGGGCTGTCGAGTAAACGCCCAGTGCCGCTTCGTAAACGCAAGTTATCAGGTCTGGGTGGTTTTTCCTCCCTAACACTCAGCTCGCGCCACACAGCTCGCACCACACAGGCTGCACCACATGGCTTCGGCCACACAGCTTGCACACCCAGGACGCACGCTGGCAGCAAACATGTATGGCTGTCGATTACCTGCTCCCCTTTTGGTCCAGAAGGCGTCCAAGACGGCCCAGGACTTCCTCCTCCTCCGCCTCCTCCTCCTCCTCCTTCTCCTCCTCCTCCTCCTCCTCCTCCTCCTCCTCTCCCTCCTCCTGCTCCATCCTCCCTCCTCCCTCCTCCCTCTGCCATCTGCCATCTGCCCTCCTCCCTCCCTCCTCCCTCTGTCCTCCTCCCTCCTCCCTTCTCCCTCCACCATCCTCCCTCCTCCGTCCTCCCTCTGCCCTCTGTCCCTCCCACCCCTCTGCCCTCCTATTTCCTCCATCTGCCCCTCCTCCTCCCTCTGCCCTCCCTCCTCTCTCCTCCCTCCTCCCTCCTCCTGCTCCTTCTGCCATCCTCTCTCTCCCCTCTGCCATCTGCCTTCCTCCCTCTTCCCTCCTCCCTCCTCCCCCCTCCCTCTGTCCTCCTCCCTCCTCCCTCCTCCCTCTGCCCTCCTCCTTCCTCCCTCTGCCCTCCTCCCTCCTCACTCTGCCCTTCCTCCTCCTCCCTCCTCCCTCCTCGGACGGCGGCCTGCATCCAGGGCGTGCCGCAGGCGCTGAAGCTGCTGCAGCTTGGGGGCAGCGTAGCGATGGACTCCTCCTGTCTGCGCAGCGGGAACGGGGCCAGCCCAGCCGCGGGCAGGACTGGCGGGCGGGGCTGAGATGACCGCGGCGATTGCTATGGTGGGCTTCATATGGCCTGGCATAATTTCTGAATGTGTTGCAAGTGCCCTAAATGGCTTAGGGGGGGAAGATCCGGGCGAAGTGGGCTCCGCACACTTAGCGGAATCATGCATTGCCCCTAAACCACCTTTGATCAACAAACAACACACACTCAAACCTACAGGGAGGAGGGGTTGGGAAGGGCAAGGTGATGAAGGCGCTACAAGCATGGGTGCGAGTTGTCGGACCCCGAGGGGGGTCCCGTTCGAACGGGGACCCCCCCCCCGACAACACGCACCCATAGCCCCTCCCCCACAGAATTCCACCCCAGGAGTTCTAAGGGACGTATAGGTACGGGTGTTACCTGTCAGTTCATGATCTTAGGGCACAAGTAACCCAATACAGGCCACGCTAGGCCAAATATAACCCACCTTCGAATCCGCCTCTTAGACCCCAGATCCCCTTAGCAGCCGCTGCGGTCATCTCGGGGGGGGGCTGCACGGTGTGCAGAGTCCAAGCGTGCGAGAACGGCGCACGCAGAGGAACAAATAACGGCATGAGCAGAAACTGTCGGAGCTCCGCGCGGACCGTCGAAAGTTTGTGTCTATGTCATTTGTTCTTGTTCGAGCACGTGCACCGACCATGCTTCGACTCCCCTCTGGCTCCGCTCCAGCGAGGTACGCCGCAGAGCTCTTCGACACGGAGGGCCGAACAAAACTATGCACTGCACCGTTCCCAGGTCGACGATCGACGACGCCTCGGGAGACGCAAGCGCGGCGCGGTGCACACGAGTCGTCCGCGGACAAACGGCTTGCACTCTGTCGGGGGAGAGGTCGAAGGTGATGCTCACTTCCGCCAGCCTCACAGATGCAGATGCCCCCCGCACCGTTCCCAGATCGACGATCGACGACGCCTCGGGAGACGCCAGCGCGGCGCGGTGCACACGAGTCGTCCGCGGACAAACCGCTTGCACTCTGTCGGGCGGATCGGGTGCTGCTAGGAGTGCTCCTGGCACAAGGTGCCGCCAAGGATTTCAATGGAGGCACCCACGGGCTCCAGGATGGAGCGAAAAGCTGGGGGCACCTTGGGCCGGGCACACCTCTAGCAGCCCCCGATGGGAGGTCGAAGTCGGCGATCCACTGACCCGGGTCACAGACCCGGGTCAGTCAGGCTTTGCAGGATCCTGCAAGATCCTGCAGGATCCTGCAGGATCCTGCGCGCTGACCCGGATCAATGCACCCCTGGCTCTGCAGGATTCTGCAAGATCCAGCGCCCTGGCTAAGCCCCCTTTCCATGGACCCCCGTCGCAAGGCTCCCGATGAAGGCGATACCCACCTCCGCCGGCCTCCCAACCTGAGGTGCCCTTCGCCGAGGGGGTGGCACGGGACGCTGCAGGAGACAGTTGCGCATTCACGATGTGCTGATGCTGCAGGCGCTCGTCCGACTCGAGCACGTAGCACACGATTGTGCAGTAGGACATCGTTCCCCGAACGGGTAGGGCCAGACAAAGCCATCGCCGCGGAGCTTTCTTCGTTTCGGCCGCAGCCGCCGCCACGGAGATTCGACTGTAAGATTTCTGAGCGTGCGCGTCGCCCTTGCGGTGCCGACACACTTTTTTTGATCCGCGGGTCGAGAGCGCACCTCTTCCGGTCGAAGCTAAGCGGGCCGCGCACAGCTTGAATTCGCGAGAGGGAAGCAGAAGGAGGGGCCTCACATCCAGGCCAGGAGGGGGCAAAGTCCCGGAATCAGGCGGTGCCGAGGGCGAAGTACTTGCAAAGGAACGGGGCCGACACACACACACACACACACACACACACTCAAGGTATGAGTGCTTTTGGGTGGGCCCGATGGCAGCGCCTCGGCCTCTCGAGGGCGAGCTCCTTCTCTGCGGGGGCAGCGAGCGACCACAACAAAACCACATCGAGGACACGCCCTGGGGGGATGCCTTGCGCATGCCAGGACACTGGCGGAGCAACGGAACCAGCGTCGTAGAGGTTGCGGTCGATGTGGCGTCCCAGGACGGCCACATCGACCACAACCACAACCAGAGTGCTCATGTCGAGGTCACTCGGTTCTCCCCCGAGGGGGGCCTCAAACGTGGTTGTGGTTCTGTGTTGTGCCTGGATTCTCTGGAGCGCCCCGCGCGGGGGCGGGGGACACTCCCAGAGGGGGGGGGTCGGTCGGACGGGGGCTGGGGGCGCCTGCTCTTGCTCCGCCGGCCGGGGAGTGCTGTGCGCGCTGGGCCGGGGCAAGCCACTGCCATCGTATCGGAAGGTCGCTAGCGCTCCTCTGTGGACTGCCGTTCGGCGGCGAGCGAGGGGGGGAAGTGAGAAAGGAGGCCTTCTCGGAAGGCAGCGGCCTCGGGCCTTCTGAAAGGTTTTCTGTGCCTCGGGGGCGGCCAAGAGGGGGGCGTCCAAGAGGGGGGGGCGCAAATCATGGCCAGCGGCACGTGCGCGGCCCAGAGGGGGGAGCCAGGGACATATTGAAGTAAGAAGAGGCCCCATGAAATCTGGGGAGATACCATGGCCCCCGCCATGATATCCACCCCCCTAGTAATCACCCCCCTCTCTGCCGCCCCCGAGCGTCTTCGGGGAAGGCTTGGAACACTTCTCAGGAACCCCGGGGGACTTCCGAGCCTCCTGAGAAGGCCTTGTCTTTCTCGCTTCCCCCGCGGGCGCGCCGCCGATCCTGTCGACTGCAGTCACCATGCTACCGCTAGGTCGGGCGTGTCCCCCTACAGGCGGATTTTGGAGGACTTTTAAAAATAGTTCAGAAATGCCAGCACAAAAATGCCCAGAAATACTAACAAACATCGCCCCCTGACTACTTTTGACCATGTTTTGAATATTCCTCCTGCGGAGGGGCAGGCCCGACGTAATGCTACCGCGAGGAACGCTGAATGAGGAGCGAGGGGGCTTGTCTGGTCAATGCTGGCCTCGGCCGCGCGTGGGGTCCAAGAGCTGGATCTCAGGGCCTGCCCGAAGGTCAGAGCCCCTCCTGAGCCCAGAGCGGTCCTTTGTTCAGCGTCTTTACTTTTTAGGGCTGGGGGGTGAGGTCTGGTGACCACTCTCACACGGACGTCAAGGGGGGAAACCAACCTGCGCTGTCAACCTCAGGTTGATGCGCTGCACGTATGGCGTCAAGCCGAGAGTTCAGATCGATTGTAGAGCACTCTGGACTCTGCCAGGCATTACCGAATACGCAGTTGCACTTGCTGGCCACCTGGAAGGAGCGACGCGGCCAGGAGGGGTGCGGGACGAGGAAAGAACCGTCGCCCCCGTATGTCCAAAAACATACAAAAAACATGGTTTCGCAGCATCAGTTATTCCCCCCAAAAAATACCCTGGCGAAGTATCCCACCCTTGCGCAATGCGGGGCATAAGTACATCAGGATTGCTACAACGGGGGCGATGACGTAACATGGACGCCTGTGCTTTTGCGAGCAACAATCGGAAGGCTCACAGGCCCCCGATCAAGATATAAGGGCTACGTAATAACAAATCACCCCCGTTGGCTGTGCCATGCGCCCGTGGCACCCAACGTATCCCGCAACAGCTCTTGAGAGCCCCCGCGGGATACGTGTAGGCGCAACGTTATGGCCATCGCCCGGCAGATGGTCTGTTTCACAAGTCACCCCCGTTGGCTGTGCCATGCGCCCGTTGCGCCTAATGTATCCCGCAGCAGCTCTCCAGAGCCCCCCAGGGATGGCGAGGTCTCGCTCAGGTCCCCGCGGTGCCTCACCCTGCAGGACCCACCAGCTGCCCTCGAAAGTGGCGACAGTGTCGCAGATCGCATCCCCCCCACGGACGGCGAGGTCTCGCTCAGGTCCCCGCGGTGCCTTACTCCGCTGGACCCACCAGCAGCCATCGAAAGTGGCGACAATGTCGCAGATCGCAGCCCCCCCCCCAGGGACGGCGAAGTCTCGCTCAGGTCCCCGCGGTGCCTCACTCCGCTGGATCCACCAGCAGCCCTCGAAAGTGGCGACAATGTCGCAGATCGCAGCCCCCCAGGAACGGCGAGGTCTCGATCAGGTCCCCGCGGTGCCTCACTCCGCTGGACCCACCAGCAACCCTCGAAAGTGGCGACAGTGTCGCAGATCGCAGCCCCCCAGGGACGGCGAGGTTTCGCTCAGGTCCCCGCGGTGCCTCACCCCGCTGGACCCACCAGCTGCCCTCGAAAGTGGCGACAGTGTCGCAGATCGCAGCCCCCCCCAGGGACGGCGAGTTCTCGCTCAGGTCCCTGCGGTGCCTCACTCCGCTGGACCCAGCAGCAGCCCTCGAAACTGGCGACAAATGCCACAGATCGCAGCCCCCCACAGGGACGGCGAGGCCTAGCTCAGGTCCCCGCGGTGCCTCGCTCCGCTGGACCCACCAGCAGCCATCGAAACTGGCGACACTGCCACAGATCGCAGCCCCCCCCAGGGACGGCGAGGCCTAGCCCAGGTCCCCGCGGTGCCTCACTCCGCTGGACCCACCCGCAGCCCTCGAAAGTGGCGACAATGCCACATATCGCAGCCCACCCAAGGACGGCGAGGTGTCGCTCAGGTCCCCGCGGTGCCTCACTCCGCTGGACCCACCAGCAGCCCTCGAAAGTGGCGACAGTGTCGCAGATCGCAGCCCCCCCCCCCGGGACGGCGAGGTCTCGCTCAGGTCCCCGCGGTGCCTCGTTCCGCTGGACCCACGAGCAGCCCTCGAAAGTGGCGACAATGTCGCAGATCGCAGCCCCCCAGGAACGGCGAGGTCTCGCTCGGGTCCCCGCGGTGCCTCACTCCGCTGGACCCACCAGCAGCCCTCGAAAGTGGCGACAGTGTCGCAGATCGCAGCCCCCCAGGGACGGCGAGGTCCCGCTCAGGTCCCCGCGGTGCCTCGACAGTGTCGCAGATCACAGCCTCCCAGGGACGGCGAGGACCATCTCAGGTCCCCGCAGAGCCTCACTCCGCAGCACCCACCAGCAGCCCTCGAAAGTGGCGACAGTGTCGCAGA